AAGAATGTATTTTTACATGGCAAAAGATCACGTGAGCGTCCCAAGAGCTCTTTGAAAGAAGCTGTTGATAGAGACAGTATTGCATTTGGTATTGGTAATTGACAAACGCTAGCCAGCGATAAAGCCAGGTTCATGCATCATCTAACGGAGGCCATATATCACAATTGCTCTGTACGGCTAGTGAAATAAGTAAGTAAATTGAATTTGGACACTTGTGGCTGCAAAGGTCCACAAAAATTCTCAAAAGAGCTATGAAAGCTCACAAAGTACAGCCAAACAAATTGATCAAGCCAATAAAAATTCAACAAAATTAATTTGCATATTTTCTCAATTGTTATTCCTAGCTGCATGTTAATCCCGAAAGCATGATTTTGAATGATAATCAAATGGTTGTTTCTCATCATCTTCTCATTTTATGCATTACAACAGCAAAGTCATTCCATCTCTTTCTCTTTCTGTATTTTTAGAATGTCTATCTCATTTCTAATTCCATATACTTATCCAGCGACGATAAGATGAGATTGAAAATATAAAATGATTTATAGATTGTGGATGCTGTTGAATATAAGAATATGACTGGAGAGCTCTCAAAAATACGAGGAATGAAAATAAATTGAGAATTCTCGTGTTGAGTCTTGTTATGATAACAAGTAATCAAAATAATAATAAGGAAAATTTGAGAAGCTGGTTTGGGTGCGTTTATAAATGACTTATTACATTTAGACTTGGGGGGAAAGGATCTTGAGGAGTATGAACAATTAAAAATGCCTCTTAATACAAATTTTGTAACTGAGGCCGGGGGGGGTCTGAAAGTTCATTTTCGACAGACGTCATTTATGAACAGACTTTTGTTAAGGACATCACATGGGTTTGATTTGTAATCTTTTTTTTAAGGTGATTAAGCTTCGTTGAATAAGAACTTCATAAGGACCCAATTTCACGAAGAATTTTCGGTGTTCTCTTGGACCCCTCCTGGCCACCTTTAAATCTATACTTAATTACTTCTACTTCCTTGGCTGGGGCACACTTGGGCCCATTGCCGCGTTCAGAGATCGTCTAAAGACACGCTCTATACTTCGAGACCTTCTGCCAATTCGGAATATTAAGGACTCTAGCGTCTTTATCAACACAACCAATCCAATTATTCTTTAAATATTTCCTTTAAGTCTAAATTCCATTCAATTGACTCATTTCTATCAAAACTGGGTTTTTCATTCCATAAAGCACGTCAAAAAAAATTCCATTTTTATCTCAAAACTATCTCCTTCATCACGTTTCGATCATTATTTGAAAATGAAATTTATTGGTACAGTTAAATTCTGTTCTCATACTGCTTCCATTCAATCAATAAAAAAACGTAAATGGAAAAGCCACTAAAGTAGAGAAAAATAAGCTTGAATATTTGAAGTAGAATAAATTTTCTCCCATTCCTTGACCTAAGTAAATGTGAATATAAATTGATGTACATAAAAAGGAATAATGAAATGGATTTGAGGAGAAAAGGAATGATTATTAATGGCCTGTAGTTTATTTCATCAATAAATACAATGTTGGATGAAAAATTGCTGGTAATACAAAAGAAGTTTCTTGAGGTAAGAGGTTGTTTTAGAAAAATGAATTGTGGGGTCGTTCAGAAATGACGTTCAATTATTCCCGCTGACCCCCTCTTCCATAAAGCTTGATAATATAAATATTTCCGTGAGTAAAGTGTCCCCTAACCTCAAACCAAAAGCTGAACATCATTTGTGTACGATCCTTTAGCTGAAATGGAGGAAAGGCAAAGAAAGATTGGATTGGATTCTTTAAAGAAATATGGAACATTATGAAAAAAATGTTGTAACTTTTTAAATTGACTTGATTTCTTGTTACCAGTAAATCGCAATCTTAAGGTTATCCTGGATTAAAGGGAATTATCCAGGGGCGTGATTAGATATTTTACAAAGGGAAGATGGGATGGTCTACCCGAATAGCACAAGTCAGTTAATCGAATAGAAATCCGGAGCCAAGTTGGTATGACTCTAGCATGGTGCTAGTTTCGATTTATATACAGCACTATGCCAGAGTCACACCAGCTTGGTGCTGGATTTCTGATCGATTAACCGACTTATGCCATTCAAGGCTACTTCCTGGTATACTTTCTCGATTACTCGATCTCGACTGATTCTTGAGACCGAGACTTCCTGGGGAGTCTCGACTTCAGTATCAGGAAAACATACTTCCTGGCTATGCTAAACTCTTTAAAAAATTAAATTATCATACAAGGAAACCAACATCATCAAACTTAACAAAAGAAGATGTTCTGATCCAAAAGTAGAAAAAGACTAGATTAGAAAAACTGCACCAAATATCTGCAACATGAAATCACAAATTAATTTAATATCACTGAAACCATCGCAGTTTCCTCTCTATCGTCTCGTCATCCATCTCATAAATTTTTAATAAATATCAATGAGTCCTCATATTCCTTGATTCATCAATAAAAGAAAGCATAATTTTTTTCTCATCCTTGAAAAAAAAATCCTTTCATTCATAAACTTTTTATCCTCTGGTGATGAGATGCTTCTAACTCTACGAGAATGAATATCACAAAAAAAAAATGATATGTAGGATAAAAAAAAATAGGGATGATATCAAAAATGACTTTGGGTTAAAGAGAAGAATAGATAGGAAAGTCATAAAAAATAGCAAAGCTATAAAAAAGATAATTCAATTTTTTTTATTGATAACAAAGAAGGGAGAAGAAAAAAGTGAAGCTCAAAGAACTGTTTTTGTGCTTCCTTTGCTGATTTTTTTTTCTGGCACAATCAAAATTTAGAAGGGGCAAAAGGGTGTGAATGCGATAAGCAATGTTTTATGGCTCATATTTGATTAAAAACACATCTTTTTTGTGTTTGTGCATTGAAAGAAGTCATGAGCTTTAACCGAAAAGCTCAAGGTGGTTAATCGAATAGAAATCTGGCACCAGGCTAGTGTAACACTGACATGGTGCTGGATTCGATTTGATTTCAGCTCCATGTCAGAGACACGCTGGTTTCGTGGCAGATTGCTATTCGATTAACCAACTTGTAATTTGTGGGTTAGGAAGTTTAATGCAAGAACACAGCCAAAGGAATCTTTAGGCTGTTGAACATTCTTTATTGAGTTTAAAATATGCGTACGAACTACTTTCAAAAATTAAATGCACACCCACCTCAAACCCAAAAATAAGTGCTTTCTATGTCTCATATCTATGGCTAGATATGGACATGAACTTGCTTAAGTAGTTTTTGATTCCTAGATTAAAATATGAGACTGTTAAGATGACTGATCTTAGTCTGTTGATGCCTCTGTTAGACAGAGAAGCTTGAACAGTTTAAAAGACGTTCTGAGAGATATCAAGAGTAGCCATAGACAGAGCTCGAAGTCGACTAGAGATTTTCATCGACTTTGTATGACGGACTCGACTCGATTCGACTCCATACAAAATTTCATCGACTTCGTAGACTTGATAACGAATCCAGATACTCATTGATCATCCGGTCAATGCTAGTAAGGGGCCGTTCACTTATGACGTCCGACATTTAGGGGGGGACGGGGTTCTAGGATTTTGTGACAGTTCAAACAATGGAAATTTTTTTCTATAGAATTTTTGTGACAGAGGGGAGGGGGGTCTAAAAATCAGGTTTTTAGATGGACGTTATAAGTGAACGACCCCTAAGGAGTATGTTGGGATCAAATACTGCTGTCAAACAAAATTTGTGGTAATACAAGCGATAAGTCAACAATAGACTAGATATTAGCCAAAATTCAAGCTTATCCGCATCATGTGTCCTCCAAATAACTGTCCTAACCCTGAACAATCCACAATTCATCAAAACGATTTACTCGGAACCTAATTAGCAAGCTTTATCTAATAAAACACATTTAGAATTCAATTATCGCCCCATTCTTTCCTGTAAATTTTGTGAGACTGATTACTCACATGTGTGAAAAGTCATGACGGAATCGACACAATAAAATAAACTCACATGGCCTGTTTCACTAAAGTATATTATCCTCGATTTCGGATTATCTACTTCAATTTTGTGGAAATTTCTCCAGACGCTCAAGGTTATTAAGAGATCTAATGTGTGATCTAGTTAGAGTACTTTTCTCCTTAAGGGCGATTCCATGGGTAAATGAAACTGAAATTTTTTTTTTCAAAAACTTTTTTAGCTTTTTCTGCTTAAATATACATATTTCAACATATCTTTTCACTAAATAAGACTTATTATTCATCAATTCATGTGTTATTAGCATTTAATCGTCTTAATTATGCTGCATTTTGACAAAAATATGTAATATGTTTTGCAATAATCGGTTGAAAGTTGACCGATTAAGTGGTGTTTTCCCCAATTTTCTCCTTAATTACAGTAGAAAGACATACAAATAAGATATTGTTATAAAGCACAGACGATTTCACGTGTGTTTATCATAGATTTGTAACACATCAATGGATATTCGAAGAAATATTGATGAAAATTTAAAAATCAATTTTTCGTAAAGTTGACCGATTAAGTTTGGTTTTTTTAAAATATCTTTTGTCAGACAGATTTAACTAAAAGATTATGCACTTAAATACATAAATACCATAATAATAAATAAAATAAATCTTAAGTATGGCGTTAAATGAAGTTAATTAAGGAAATATTTACAAAAAATTGAGTTGAGAAAAAAAAAATCACTCATGGAATCGCCCTTAAATCAACATGTACTTGGAATTTTTATATCTTCATTAGTTTGAGAATTATAACAAAAATCGAAGTTAATCTACTAGATTTGGCTAGAAAATTGAATGATTAATACTTCTTACCGAAAATCAAAAGTTTAAAGTATACAGAAATTTCAGGCATAGTTCACTCTATTATAAATTCAAAATTAGAAATACCACACCTCCCATAAAGTTTAAGATATTTACAAAAAACTGAAGTGAATAGTCCAAAATCGTGGATAATCCACTTTAGTGAAACAGGCCGCAATGTCTCAGCTTATCAGAATAAATCTTATAGACATACTTTATTGACATTATTCTACAAAGAAAAATAAATTAATTAAATTATCACAAATTCTTAGACGTATTAATAAATTAAAGCGTTCATGCTAAATAATTTGCTTTGATGCTCAGGTATTTTTTTTTGTTCCATCAATCAAAATTCTTGTGAATTGAAATCTTAGCTTTTCCAAGGTTTTTTTTTGGGATCCAATGTAAAGATTTAGATTTAACCGACTGGTCGATTGCCACCATAAGTTGGTGGACGCGTTCGTACAGGTCTTCTAGTTGCACGCTGTTCTTGAACTCTTTGGCGCTTTACTTCTTGCTGTTTATAAACAAACAAAGGTCTGAAAATATGAAATTTAAGATTATTCAATCAATTTTGATGGATGTATTCATGTTACCTGAAAATTAGGGCTCTTTTTGCAACAATTTTATCTGCATCCTTTGGAGCCTCTCTTTTCACTTTTGTTGATCTTTTAATTAACTCATCATTCAGCACACCCGCATTTATGAATTCTTGTACTGATATGAAATCATTATTAAAATAATCAGGTGTTATTATTCTTTCATTGTCATTTAGTAGTTCTCTGGTTATTATTGTTGCTTCTGTTGTTTCGATTGTTTCGGTTGAATTTTCACTTGATGCTGGAAAAGAATGAACTTGATGCGCCAGAAGGATGATAAATGCGATCTGAAAATTAAGGAATAAGTGAGAGATTGTTTATTATTTACGGACTCTATTTAAGGAGATGAATGGAAATGAATCTAATATTTTGTGATAATGTCCATAATGTCCATAATTTGTGATAATCCAACTTGTCACAAAATGTTTAAGGAAGAAAAAATTCTTTTGTTTGGACTGTCACACAATCTCAGACACCCCCTCCCCCTCCTTCTTTACTAAGTAATAGTGTTACGTAATAGCAAAAAAAGAAGAACATAACAGATGAGAGGGGTGGACCAGGGTCTGACCAAGTTACACTAGTGGTGTTCAACCTATTTTGTGCCACATCTTGATGATAAGCCGCGATCGAAATAACGACATACGGTTCGTGGAAAAAAACGTTCTATTTTATTTCTGCATTTCACCGATTTACAATTTTAAGAGAGCTAGCGCCAGCGTCTTTTTACAGACAGATTTTTTCCTCAACGGACGATTGCATATTTGCAACTCTGCACAATTGCATTGACACAGGGTATATCAATGCAAAGTATCTAGCCACTATTTGCACGTCTCAAATCATACAAACCGAGTTGCCATAACTAGAACAGCGAAAAAAGCACCCCATTCCGACTAGATATTATCTGGGATCGAATTCAGATCGTTAGGGTTGGTTGGCATACACTTTAATCACTAGACCACTGCTGCTTTTTCGCTGCTGTTGAATCAGTGAGTTACACCAAATTCTTTTAATTTGGAAATGAGCTATATAGTAAGTAAGGCAACAATCCCTCGAAAGTTGAAAAAGAACAAGTTCCCGAATTATGACATAGTTGCATTCAAAGCTCCAAAGATCGATATTGTGACTGATACGAATTAAATATCATCAAAAATAAAAATATTAATTTTCAAAATAGTAAGCACCACCAATCACTACTGTTACAAAGGATGCAAGTCCTGAATATCGAAAATCGAACTGGCCGAAGTGTCGAAGGAAAGAGCTGTCTGTAGACGTTCTGTAAGCGCGGCATTGGAAGTAATTAAATAAGTAATCACCACTAAGTCAGTGCTTGAGCATCAAAACATTTTATTTTCAATTTTTAATTTCAAAAGAATTCTATTCTTTTTTCTAAGAAGCAAATTGCACTTAAAAATCACTTTTTATTAAGTCACGAGTTCCAAATCCATTGCGTAATCAAGAATTTTATTTTCAAATATTTCATAAACTACTTACATTTAAGAACTTCATTTTTAAGTTTTTGAACGTTTTTTAATAAATTAAAATATTATTTTTTTATAATTTTTATTTCCAAAAATCAATCTTTATTATTCTATCTAGTTCTTGAGATCTTTATCTCTATTTAATTCAGACAAAACTGGCAAAAAAAAGATCAATGTCGCACATTTTATATGAGCGGAATCTTATGTCAATCAATCAACCAACACCAATTAGCTTAGAAGTGTTAATTTACAATACTATTTCATCTAGATGTGCTAATTGCTGATTTTATGGAGATTCCTCAAAACATCAAACTGATTCATATGACTTGGACTATGACAATTTCATTCGGAAGTTGTCTGAAAATTGTTATGAAAATTATTCATCAATTAACAGCTTGACTTGCTAAAAATTTTCCGTTCAATTTTGTTTTCTAAATTTAGAAATGATTTATTTTTAGATTGGCAAATTGTGTTGATTCTTTTGCAGTAGGTGGAATAATATGACAAATTAAATAATCATGATTTTCGTTGGAAGGGAACATAAGAAGTCATTGTTAGACGCATTACTGACAGTAAGGTGTGAAGTTTGATGATAATGTCAATGGAATTTGTTGAATAAACACAAGATTTGATGGAAAATTTTGCATTTTGTAAAGGGTTTTGATTAATCATCTGTAAACAAATAATTTGGAGTTTAGTCACTTGATTTTTTTATAAATCATTAAAATTTCGTCATTTTTAATGCATAGATTCAAATATAGCTAACGATGATATGGCATCAGTGATCATATTGATAGAGAAATGACCTAAGATCAATCCAAAGCAGAGTTAACAGGAATTGGCCGATATTGGAAGCATAGGAAAAATGGAATCAGTAGCCTAAATGGTAGAGCGTTGGCCTATTGTGCCAAAGGTCCTGGGTTCAATCCCAGGGCATGTCTAATTGTGAAGCTCTTTTTCCATTTCTCCGTTCTAGTTACGAAGCTCTGTTCGTCTGTTGGGTGTAGTTTTGAGGTCTTTGGCATAGAATATGCCTTCTTTGCTAGGTAAATAAGGATATACTAGCATCTTGATGACTTCCTTACGGCATCTTGCGCACACGAATTGTGACTATGTACATTGCAGGGTACAACAGCTATTATGACGTCCTCGGGTCTTTGCAATGTGCAGAGCTTGCAAGTGGTTCAGATCCCACTTTAAACTGTCCTCTGAAAAATCAATCAGATGGTCAGCCTTGTCATAAATGGATCCTTAGTGCTTTTCGGGTATTGTCGAGTTTAAGAAACCTTAAAACTTCTCTTAAAGTAAAATAATAAATTAAAATAATGTTCCATTACTGAAATAAAAAAATCATAACTAAGCATTTTCATGATTTCCATCATCTATCTCAAATTGCATAAATAAACTGAAAATAAATTGCATTCATTTTTATTTTTCTAAAAAAAAATTTCTCCCATATTTCTCATTCTTCTTTATCCGCGAGCATAATGGCATCGTTTATATTTCTCTGATATCGCATTTGAAAAATTTCTCATTTTATCATATTCCTCCTATTCCTTCCAAACGAGGAAAAAAAAAAATGAAAATAAAAATATGGCAGAAAAAATTTCCGAAAGAAAAATGAAAAACGGAAGCAATTTAAAAAAAAATCTCTGATATTATTTTCATTCTAATTTCATATTCCGGCATCAGCGTTGAATTCTCTCTAGCAAAACTTAGCGTAATGATAAAATGCTGAAAGCATTCTGCGGTACAGGTTTCAAATTGTAAAATTGGGACTTGTTAAATAAATTTTTTGATTCTTCTTTTACCTGTTTTTTTCATTTATTTATATTTTTTTATGGATTCAAATGATTTGTTGGAATGATGGGAGGAATAAATGAAATTGAAAGAGGAAAAGTTGGCTGCAATGTTTATTATTTATGTGATTAAACTTTCTGTTCCTGACATTTTTTTGAGAATTTAAAAATGAAATATTTTTTGAGGATTCTTGAAGTAGCAATGTTCAAAGTCCAGATTAACAAGTCTAATTGATGATTGTCTTGATGATTCACTTACTTGTAATGTGGTGATTAATCTGTAAATGTTGAATTTGAAAGTTTCACACTTAGTTTACATTTATCATGAGTAATCTAGTCGATAAAAGGTTTTCATTAATTTTGTAGCTTCATTCATAGCTAGGCTGACCATCTGCTTGGTTTTTCAGTGGACAGTCCTCTGAAGGAGGATGGACAGACACGTGGATATTTTTTCAAAAAATATCTAGTCACCAGGGGCGCAGCTAGGAAAAATTGAAAAGGGGGGGGGGCACATTTTTTTTGTATGGAAAACTTTTAAGGGGGGGAGGGGGATTTTTCGAGTTTTTCATAAAAACTCTAGCAAAATGAAGAAATTTCTCAAGACAAAGGGGGATTTGTCTCTCAACCCCCCCCCCCCCCCCCCCCCCACTGGCTACGCGCCTGTTAGTCACTCTGTGAATCATAGAAAATGGCATTAAGATTTTAATAACTTTTCCGCCTGAAGACTTCTTTTGAAATTTTCTCATTCAGTTCCGCAACTTTTCTTCATTTCGAATACAGTTTCCATTCAAAATATTCATTTTTCCAGACATACAAAACAGTTAATAGACAAGATGCAAAAACGAATGATCTTTGAAACAAAATTATTTATTAAAACTACATATTTACATCGAAATAAACAAGATGTTATGCAATGTATAATATTGGCAATGTCAGTCAATGTCGATAAAAAAAATATATGTTATTGGATTCACTTCAAATCTTCAAATCTAGGTTTCAAATAAATTAAGGCTCTCGTTTCAATCTTCTATGGTCGTGTCGTGATATATTTCATGTCCGTTCTGACAATATTCCATTCATAAGTTAATCTTATAGCTCTCGTTCCTATTTCTCTCGCTACACTTCAAATTCCTGATCCGTTCCTTAATCCAACGTTCCCCAAATGCCCAATTATGGCTTGATCTCGTACATTAAGCAGTCGAAGCATCTAAACTTTTGAAAAAGAATAAATTTGAAAATGACTGGATTCGAACCGAAATCCTTTGAGTTGCCATACCAAATTTGAGCCAGTTGCTTACCTTTTTGACCAGCAAAGCACTTAGCTGCATATCATGAAATACCTGATTGTATCTTTTCACATTTCGAGTTTGCAAGATGCCTTAAGGAAGTCATCCAGATGCTAGTACATCCTTGTATACCTAGCAAAGGAGGCATGTTCTGTGTCAAAGACATCAAAACTACACCCAACAAACGAATCGAGATTCGTAACTAGAACGGTAGAATGGAAAAAGAGCTTCATAAATTAGACATGGCCTGGGATTGAACCCAGGACCTTTGGCACTGAATGCTAATTTATCGTAGAAAGAATTTCGAACTTTTTAATTATTCAAAAATTCAACTTCTCACAAAAGTTGTTCCTATCCTGTGCAAATTGACAAACCTTGAATTCTTTTTCATTTCACAAACTTTGTTCTTCTTTATAATTTTAATTCCGCCTGATGAAGTTTCAATTTTCTTTTTCATTCACAAGAAATTCCAATATTAACGGATAGTAAATTATCCTCAAAGATGTTTTCTCTCATTTTGTAATCCTAGTCCAAGAAAAAAACATCGCTTTTACAAAAATAAGAAATTATTTCAAAATGAAAAAAATATTGAAGAAGACTAAGAAATGAGAAAGTTTATATCCTAAGTGAAGTAAAGAAGCATTCACATTCAATTCCATAACAGGAGAAAAGAATGAAGAAGAAAGAAAAAAACTAAGGAATTGGATGGGAAGTGAAGTGAACGAACAATGAGATAAAATGATATTAAAGGGAGAAAATAACTCAGTCTTTACTTATACAACTCATATTTCCCTGAATGGCTGTAATTTTTTTTTATAAAAAATTTATTTCTTTGTTTGTGAGCAACGAGGTTGTAAGGATGAGCATAATTTCTGATTTGTGAAGCAACGTTTTGTCATTTAACAGCCATTAAGTTCTTGTTTGGAGGTTCATGTCCAGGAGCCGGTTTCTACTGCTAACTCAACTCTCCACTCCGAGTCAAAATCAAATTTTGTTTATATCCTAGAATTCCCAGCAATTAAGCACAAATCCGAACGATCTATGGTCCTGTGAAGGAATGAACAGAGTATCAAAGTCGACATAATGTCAAGCTTTATCATTTATTTCAGGAAGCTTACATTGCTCCGTGCATATCGCTTGAGATGGGCTGGACAAAAGTTCCAACGGTTACAAGATGCTCAGTAGCAATATGAATTGGTTGAGTTGAAAAGGACGATAGAGTCCTAAATATCTCGAACTGGTAAAAGATTTCTAACAGAGTTCGAAGTCAACTCGAGATTTTTATCGATTTTGTATGGCGGAGTTGAGTCCAAGTCGACTCAACTGTAAACATATTTTCATCGACTTCGATCTCTGGTTTCTAAGGATAGGTTTCTAAGCGCGCCAATGGATCCACGTGTGCCTCAGCCAAGAAAGTAAGTGAGTACAGCACAAATCCTCACTAAATGCATCAATCCTACTTAAGTTTATAACTTGCATTTTCTTCCAGCACAAGAGTAAGGAAGAAGCAAAAAAAAAATTCATCATCATGATGTGGAAAATATTTTTCGAAGCATCTCGTTTCCTTGATTATTTCGTAGAAAATAAAAAACTGCAAACAAAAGAAGAAGAAGAAGTAAGATAAAAAAATTTCATCCACATCATCATCATCATCGTAGTCATATGCAACCGGTGAATATGGCATTTGCATTCATTCGATATTGCTCATATTTGTTTGCATATGAAAAATGAAGAAGTGAATGTGATGAATAAATATTAAGCACATGAATGACATCAAATAAAAATTTAAATATGAAGCATGTCAATTTCTGTTCTAAATTCTTCACCTACATTTTCATTATTCAATGGGATTGCTATAGCAACAGGGTTGTTGTTTGATCAATGCATCAAGCATTTTTATGCATTTTAAATTCCTTTTACGTTCAGTCACAAAAACTCCTGCTTGGATAGTAAAAGAATTTTTTTGAGTGCAAGAAAAAAGGAAGTGAATTTGTTGCAGCCATGGAGGTGATGGAAGAAGGAAATTTAATGGACAGGATTCCCATCCTGTTGCAGCGTGATATGGAATATTATGAAGTGAGTTTGGATTGGGACTTTAGGGACAGATTCACAGTTTGTGGATGGTTTAACTTGGCACTACTTTACTTGGTTCAAGTCGTGTCTCTAAAGAGCATTAGGAGATTTGCGAAAAATATCTATAGTAAGTCAAATAGCTAGGTTACTGAATGCAGGGGCGTAGCCAGAAAATTTTTAAGGAGGGGGGGGGCCCATTTTCGAAAATTAAAAAAACCGTTATTTTATATCCTTAAATCTATATTCATTCTTCATAAGTTTAAATATTTAATTCATTATTCATACATTAAATTTAATTTTTCATGCTGATTTTGACATTTCTTTCGTCACTTCCTCTACATTAACTGGTTCTTCTCTATAAATACTTAATAAAACAATTATCAGATTTTCGTAGGGGGGGGGGGGGGCCGGGCCCCCTAAGGCTCACTTTGTGGAAGTATAGTTGCACCTAAACTTACAACTTTCATAACCTCTCTACCAAAATCAATCCAAACATCCCATAACTCATCCAATCTTCCATTTCTATCCTCCAGCAAAACCAAGTCGTGCTTCAGGAAACAATTTGTTCTGGAATTGTTGGAGGACGACTTGATTTTCCACGATATGCATCATTTGCGTCTGTAAAAATATGTTTGTGGCTTGAAGATGAATTTTTTGCAGCATACAGCCGACACTCTGGTTTGTTAGACTTGTCAGGTATGGAAAAGCATCAAATTTATTTATGCCTGAATTATTTCATAACGCGAACACCAAAATTCATAAATTCTCATTAACCCATATATTTATGAACAACATATATCACATACAGAAATCAATGATGATGGCGACGATAGAGATGACGACGCAAATCTCACTGGCTGTGGTGGAATTGTGAAGTCATCTGATCCAGAAAAATTTGTGTCATTGACAACAAAGTCAACAGATAGTTTATTGGAGCACATACACACATTATCGCAAGAGGCATTGGATCATGCTGATTTATCGGTATTGACAGCAACAATTGGCGCTGCTGCTCTCATAAAAAATTCACTTTATGTGTATTTACAAAATGTCAACAAGACTATGTGTCCTCCCAAGGGAGATGACAAGGGTGGATCGTTGAAGGTAAGTTTCTAGAGGAATTAGATCGAATCAACCAACCTTAAATTCCATTTAATTTAGTTGAGCTACAAACAATTCTCAGAAATGACAGAAGCACTTGCAGAACGACTTCTCGATCTCCACTGTCGACTCCTAACCCTCTACATCATCCAAGACGCCGATTGTCTTCACTGGGAATCCACTCAACCCTTTTTTGAATCAGAGCGTGGCAGCTACACAATACAAATGTGGTGGTTATATATGAAAGGAACACGACAAGATTTATGGAATTCTGTGCCACCAAGTATGGCACAGAGGGTGTTTGCTGGAATGTTGAATGAAACTATGACGATTCTCACAGTGAGATACACCCAAACGGCACCGAGTAAGGCACGGTCTCAATTATTGCTCGTTGACATTTCAAACATTCTACTTTGTGTCGCTGAACTTTTACCATCGATTTGTGAGCATGGCGAGGCATACATTGGCCTCAATATTACGAATCAGAGTAAAATTATTCGAGATATTCATGCAAAGTGTCATGAACTTTTCTGTTGTTTATTGCTGCGTGGTGCCCCAATTGGCATACTTTATAAGCTTTTAAAAAAAGGAACGCAGTCTGTCGGTATGTTTATGCCTCGTAAAGGATATCCAAGTCCGTGGCTTATTTATGCATGGCCTCAAATGTTTCCTCCAAATTTAAATGGACACCTTGCAACAAAAGTCAGTGAATTTGGCACATTTGCAGCACTTACAATTGAACTGAAAGTTTTGCTTGCATCGCCTCAAGCAAATTGGCCACTTCTTATTAAAGTTCTTCTCATGCGTGACGCTCACTTATCGCAAATAATTTTTCATCATCTTATGAAATATTTACCAACATGCGACGAGTTTGTTGACAGTCACATGCAGCCATGCATGAATCAAGAAGGCCTAAGGACAAAATGTGATGGCTTTTTGTGCGGAAAAGAATGCAAAGATATAGCAGAGTGGGCAGCAACACAAAAAGATCCCTACAAGCAGACCAATTATCAAACAATCTTGGCATTAAGCTATATTGTGATAATGACGGGAAAAGTTAGCGATATAAATCGAACATTAATATCAGCATTGGACAAGACTCAAATAATAAATTGGGCTCACTGCTTGGATCGTCGTCAAGTTTGGAATCAAAAGCGTCCGCCATGGCTTGAAGCCATCATACATTTGGTTTATCCAATTTTAGATCCAATTGCACACATGTTGATATCGGCGATGCAAACAGGTGCTAGCAATTATCAATCGATGGCATTGGCTATAACGTGCTTTTCAGGTGAGAATTTTGATGTGATTTGAGTGGATGGAAATGGAACTTTTAGCTTTAACAAGAGTGCTTTTAAGAATATAGCTACTGGGAAAGCTACATGATCAGAGCAAAGATGTGATTTTAGTGTAAGAGGAGCAGTAAAGGTGAATGATGTTGATTTACGGGGAATAAAGCTAGAAGGACCCCTAGGGGTCAAAAGGAATCCAAAAGAGTTCAAAGAGATACAAATAGGCCCTTGAGTCAAAAATATAGGATCAGGATCTGATTATGTTGCTGGGTTTTGAGTACATTAGAGAGTCAGTAGAAGATTCAGATGTCCTAAACTTCATTTATGTCAAAAGAAGCATTTAATGCCTCATTGATTCAATATTCTTAAGATTCTTGACCTTAAAAGAACTTTATCGGCCTGTTTCACTAAAGTGGATTATCCTCGATTTCGGATTATCCACTTCAGTTTTTTGGAAATATCTTAAACTTTATGGGAGGTGTGGTATTTCTAATTTTGGATTTTAATAGAGTGAACTATGTCTGAAATTTCTGTATACTATAAACTTTTACTTGTTGGTAAGAAGTATTAATTATTCAATTTTCTAGCCAAATCTAGTAGATTAACTTCGATTTTTGCTATAATTCTCAAACCAATGAAGATATAAAAATTCTAAGTATATGTTAATTTAAGGAGCAAAGTACTCTTGCTAGATCACACATTAGATCTCTTAATAACCTTAAGCGTCTGGCGATATTTTCAAAAAACTGAAGTGGATAATCCAAAATCGAGGATAATCCACTTTAGTGAAACAGGCCGTATAATACTCGAGCATCTTTAAAATATAGTAAATTTGCATCAGCACTTGAACATTTTCCATTCTATTGATCCACAAACTTTTCCTCAACCTGAAAACTTTTTCAATCTAAAAATCCACTTCGAAAAAAAAATTCCATCGACTCAACTTAATCATCAAAAATATTTTATTTCATTCCTCTATACCTTATTTCAATTTCAATAGAAATGTGGGATGCAATACCTGATTGTCTATACACAGTTATAATGTGCATTGTTGAAATACTTCCGGCAGACATAAAACCACTCGGTGATTCCGTTCTTATTCAAATTCTTTTCTGTGCATTATATACGAAACTATTGGAATGCGCATCTTTTGAAGAACCTGAAGGTGATGTTCCCGTAGCTACTAATGAAGTCGATCCGAATGTTGTTGTACGTTCAAAGCGAACAGTTTGTCAAGTTCTGGCTGAATGCATTTGTGCTATAGATGAGGATAACAAGCATACGGAATTACTCAATGCACTCGTAAATCAATCTGTAGAAAGTCAAAAGCGAATGCGAACACTTGAGTCCGATTTAGATCCAAATAATGTCGATGGTGATGATTTAGATGTTGGTGCAGCAGCACCACATGAGGCACGTTCGGATGAAGAATATGATGTAGAAAATGCTGATTATATTTCTGAAGTGCTGGCGAGTGACGTGCTTACGACGAGTGTGGGCAAGCAAAGTGTTAAAATGATGTATAAATACATCAAGTATAATGTGGAATTTTTATTACAACAGCTCAATGTCAGTGATGTGGATCCAGGTGAGAATAAAGAATGATGATTTATTCAATGCATGAAAAGAATTTTCAATTATTTTTTTTTCTATCTACAATAACACGTACGTGTAGATCCAAACGATCAATATCCAGGTCAGAAAATAACAGAAGAGAAACCGAATCTTTTGACTTTAATGTTTCATATTGGACATCAGCCATTTGATCAACTGCTTACTGGACAAATGAATGTTGATTACATGAACTGGCTACAAACGCCAATGTCATTGACACCAGAACGAGCTTGGCTTCAAATCTGTCAACGTTATGAGTTTCAAGAAAATGTACAATTGTCAGCACATGAACAGCTTATGGTTCAGTCTGTCACAGCACAATTGAAGAGATAAAATGATTATGGATGTTTTTTTTTATAGCTTATTGTCTATTGAAGATGAAGATGAATTTAGAGCAGTTCTGGTAGATAAAAATGATTGAATTTTATGATGATTTGTTTTTTGTTTGATGTTGTGCATTAAAGATTGTCATTGGAATAAAATATCTGCTATGGTAAAATGTCAAATTGAAAATTTTCATTACAGTCGTTCATAAATGATGTTTGCCACAGTTAGATTCATTTCCTTCTGAACAACTTTCAGATGCTAAATTGCTAAAGGTTCAAAACAATTGGATATTAAGACCTTGTTGCCAAAAAAAAGAAATTATTTATATTAAGGTGTCTCAGATTTCAGAACTCCATCATTATCACTTAATACCATTATGACATCTTGCTGTATGACATAGAAGCAGCTGAGTACCTTCATAGAGCCATTGACAAAGCCTTTGACTCAAATTGTCTGTTTTGATTCGAAGGTCATGAGGTCAAATGCCAAGGTTTTGAGATCTTTGATTTTTCAGAAGTTTAGCTTTTAAACTGCTTAATAGAGAAGAATAAGACGAAATTCGAACTCAAGTCAACGTTGGACTAAAGAACTGGCCAGTTACTATATTTAACTGTAACTTATCGCAAAGAACTCATGGAAAGAGGCTGTTGATAGAGACTGTATTGACTTTGGTATAGGAAATTGGCAAGCGGTAGCAAGCGATAGAGCCAGTTTTAGCCTCCTCTTAAATTATGAAACCTCATTAGCTACAACCCTAGTAGCTTCATATCCCTCAAAAAAATTCATCATCGTGACTCAAGATTCCTTCATTCCATTTGCATATTATTACAATTTCTTTCATTCTTATTACCTTTATCATTTTGATAATCCTAATTTTCCGACAAGTCATTTTTCTTGATGACAAAAAGTGTCACAAAATGAGAAGCGTACTGTAATTTATCATTCTTATGAATAAAATTTTTTAAGAAAAGTAAACACAACCGAAAATCACACACACAAAAATATATCATTTGAGAGGAAAGAGAAATGGGATTTATTGTCTGTTTGTATCATGATTTCTTACCTCCATTGTTTCTTTTCACCCCCACCTTGGCATTTGCCATTTTTTTTGCATATCTCTTTTGACATTGCTGTTATCTTACTGCTCATGTGGATGTATCTTGTGTTTATTCTTATTTAGTTACTCAGTTGCTTTCCAATTTTATTTTTGAAATGAAGGGGGGACTTATGAGAGAGGGGGGGAGTTGAGAAGATGCATCAGGGTTGGGATTCACTGGCTTATCAGCTGCCTTTCAACTAGTTTAATGACATATTCAAGGGTTGGATTAATTTTGATCAATCTTGGTCATATTAATAGCATTGTCAAGATTTTTTGAGTAAGGTGGGGAAGCTATGGCATTTAAAGATCCCCTCTCTAAGCCCCTGTGTTGAAGACAGCATTAGAAATCTTACTTACTTATTTCTCTGGCCGTACAGATCATGGCCTCCCTTAGATGGGACCTGAAGCTGGATCTATCGCACGCTACCGCTTGCCAATTACCAATACCAAGTGTTTTTTTTCCATCTACAAATTCAGACTTTAGAATTTTATTAATGGTAGCTTCAACAGGTCTCCTAACAACATGTCCCGCCATACGAAGCCTGTTCACTTTAAGCATTAGAAATCAGGAAGGCATAATAGCAAAGCATGTACTTTTGATGCATGAAACTAAATAAATCATCGACCATTCAAGACTCCTTGAGTCGAAATGCCATAAAATACTCCATTCCATCTGATTCCTAGAAGGAACCAGGAAATCATCTCCCAACTCTGCCTCAAAAATACCATCTTCTTCTATTATTTTCCTGTTTTTTGTCTTTCTATTTATTTTTGAGATCCTTATACACACAACTTGACATTTTCATAAATAGATTTGTCATACATTCTCAAGATGAAAATAAACAGGAAAATTTTTTTTTGCAAGATTGCCAGTTCCGCGGAGCTTTTTCACATTCTCTCGACTTTCTATTTATTCAAGACTTTATAATAAATCATACGAAATGCTACATATGCTTGTTATGTGATGTGATTTTTGTAGCTTTTTTCATTGTTGTTGTATTTTTGGGTAAAATTCTAAAAATGTTTAAAAAAATCTTAAATTTTCTTCTTTGAATGAAATTTCACACTTTTATGTATTTTGTCATGAAATGAAGACATAAATATTCATAACATATGAAAATAAAGTTTGCATATACTGCAATGATGAAAATAGAAATCTTTATAAATATTTACACTGAAAATAAGAGTTTGTTGAATGAATTTAAGGCTTGAAGCTCGTGTGCTGAAAGATTTTGTGGAGTTAAATTGAAAGCTTCTGAAAAGTTCTTTTCTATTGGTTCAATGGTTAGCATAACCTCAAAATTAATTTTCCTGCTAAATGCACCTTGAGAATCCAAACAATAAAAAACTGAATAAAGCATCAAAAATATAAAGTTATTGTTATTCCGAGCTGTTCATTCTGTATCTTAAATTTACATTCTTCTTTGCATATTGCTAAATTTCTGCAATTCATTTCACCACCATTTTTAAAATCCTTTGTTCCTATTCGCATTATCGGCCGTTCATTTATGACGTCCAGAGGGGGGAGGGGCAACTAGAATAGAAGTTCGTGTAAGGGATCGTTCACTTTTGACGTCCGTAATTAACGGTCACTTCTCAAAAATGAACAATGGATTTCCAGGAATTTCTATAGTTCTTTTCTTGTTGACACCCCCCCCCCCCCCCCTCCATCCCCCTGGACGTCATAAGTGAACCACCGTTGTTGTTTTTTGAAAAATTACCGTTAATTTTGGACGTCATAAGTGAACGACCCCTTAGACATTTTTATTGAGCCATTGTGAATGTGCAAAATGAAAGCTTTAAAGAGAAGCTTTCCCTATTGAATTGGATGAGAAGTAACAACAGTGAAATAATAAAAATGAAATTTTAAGGCGAGAAATTGCATGCAAATTCATGAGAATGGAAATTCCTGATTTGTAAATGCAAGGAAGAAGGGAAAGCTAAAGAATTAAATTTATTCTGGAATTGCAGGAAGAATAGAGAAACTGAAAAGAACCGCTAGCGATGTAAACACGAATAACACAGACGTTATAAACAAAACTGGAAGAATTAAGTTTGGAAAGGATGATAAATAGATGCGATTGGCGCATTTTTGGTGTTGTAAAAGAATTTGAAACTGTTTTATTTGACCCTTTGACCCCCTCCTAATTCACTCTTTTATGTCTCTAAGAATCTCAAATTTAATCAAAATAATCAGAAATGAAGTCTTGATGAAGTTCGATATTGCCTAACGCTAGATGGTCTCGAGTGGTCCTAGCAGGCGCGTAGTCAGGGAGGGGGGGGATTTGGTGAAGAAATCCCCCTTCATCTTTAGAAACTTCTTCATTTTGCTAGAGTTTTTAAGAAAAAACTCGAAAAATCCCCCCCTTAAAAGTTTTCCATATAAAAAAAAATTTGTCCCCCCTCTTAAATTCCTGGCTACGCCCCTAGTCATCCTAGATTTTAGAGCACCATTCACTTATTACGTAACACTTTGGGGGGTTCGATATTTTGTGGCAGTTCACACACTATAAATTTTCTTCATACAAATTAAGTGACAAGGGTTGCCTCTAAAAAGTTGTAACGTAATAAGTGAACGACCCCAAAGAAATTTGATAAATTAAACGAAATATAGCTGGCTGTCCGTGGAATAGCTTACTAAACTCTTTCACTAAACAAAAAATTATTCACAAGCAAGAAAGTTTTATGGATGTGCAGTAAAAGAAAGGAAGAAATTTTATGCGATTTTTCTAACCATATAATTTCTCATTTAGGAATATTTTATGAGCATTCTTTCGCCTCTTTTATTTTTATTTCCTTTACCATCTCATTTCAGACTTTATCGTAAGTAAGTATCTTTGAGATATATTTCCATATCGGCTCATCCATTAATTCATTTTCATTTCCATTTCATGGTGCTTTTTTGGTCAGAACTTCAGGCTTTATTTGCCTCTCAATCTTCTTGCTGCTCATTTTCAATGGGTATTTTTGGCTTGGTACTGACTGTATACATTAAATTTCCACAATAATATTGTGTAACGGATGGAGAACGAAAAAGCAATTATACAAACTTACAGCTACTTCCATTAACATAATTAATTTTCTTCTGATTTATTTATTCACTCCTCTCACTCTGAGCTCCATTACTATCACTACTACAGAGTGAGTGTTATGGACATATCCTTTTTGTTATAGCTACAACTATATTTACTGTATATTCATTTTTAATCCATTAAATGATATGGACATTGTTGTGGATATTCTATACACAGTTGTACAAAAAAAAAATGGAACATCATTCATTCATCCATCACTCATGGTCATTTTAGTTCCGATTTCATTTTGCAATTTTTCTGTGTTGGATGGTTTTTGTATGCTTTGTTCAGTGTTAGGATTTGAAGAGATGACTCAAGGGGTGGATGCTTTGGTGATATTTTGGCTAGTTACTAATCTGACTAAGACTGTATTTCCCTTGAATTCTGGAGGTTTAATGAGGCTTGGATTAGTCTCGATGATGTCTGATATGGCTCAATAAGGTTTAATAAGGTTAAATAAGTTTCAATGGGATTCAATAAGATTCAATAAGGGTCAATAAGGGTTAATAAGATTGAATATGGGTCAATAAAGTTCAATAAAATTCGATAAGGCTCAATAACGATCAGTAAAGGTTCAATAAGGTTCAATAAGGTTCAAATAAGGTTCAAATAAGGTTCAATAAGGATCAATAAGGTTCAATAACGATCAGTAGAGGTTCAACAAGGTTCAATTAAGGTTCAATAAGGATCAATAACGATCAGTAAAGGTTCAATAAGGTTCAATAAGGTTCAATTAAGGTTCAAAAAAGATCAATAAGGTTCAATACAATCAGTAAAGGTTCAATAAGGTTCAATAAGGTTCAATAACGATCAGTAAAGGTTCAATAAGGTTCAATAAGGTTCAATAAGGTTCAAATAAGGTTCAAATAAGGTTCAATAAGGATCAATAAGGTTTAATAACGATCAGTAAAGGTTCAACAAGGTTCAATTAAGGTTCAATAAGGATCAATAACGATCAGTAAAGGTTCAATAAG